TCTACTCAAATAGCCTGTTGACCTCACCTCTAGCAAGCGGCTCTGACCATGCACACAGCCATCATAAAGCCACTCTTGCCACCCTGCGTCTTTTATACAAGCCCTTCATGACCCTCCTCTCTAATTCTCTGCATGAACAGCCAGTCCATAATAGTCATTTTCTTCTGGCAGCCCTGTTGCCAAGGAGTCTGGGCATGACCAGATGCTCCAGGTCTTCTAAGGACACTCTGCAGTCATCGTCCTGATACCATCCGGCACTCAGCCAGTGACAGTTAACTCTTCCCATCCCCAGAGGGTGTTTTGCCAGTCACCTCACTGAGTGGCTTCTGACTCCCATACACAGCCCAGGGTCCCTTTAAACACAGACCAGAGCACCTGCACCACACATATTCACTTGTTTCCCCTGCCCAGCTCAAACACACATTGCCTTACTCGTTCCAACCATCCTGTTCTTCTCAACCCTTTTGACTTCTCAATAAGAGCCATAACAGCAGTGTTTATAATAATTAACAACTAGAACAAATCTGGTTGTCCAACAGCAGGGGACTAGCTAGATATATCATGGTTCATTAACATAATGGAATATTATTTGCCCAATAAAAATGGCACAGTAGAAGAAGTAATAACAAGAATAACATCAACCATACCGTGTTAAGAAAAAAGAAACCTTACAAAATAGGTTTTCTTAACTGATGACTGTATATCAAGATGCTATCAGTTATCAATGTCCAGTTTGTAGGATTACCATTGATTTCCCTTCTTTCTTTTTGTTTATCTCTATTTTATAATCTTTTGAAATGGCTATGTATCCTTTTGGAAAAAACAAAACATGAAAATTAAAAAATTCAAAACAGCATGTTCAAAAAATTCATCTGTTTTTTGAAGGTGTTGAGCTTTGGCTACCCCACCAGGATGGGTCAGCGCTCCTTACAAAGCTGAAATTGCTCAGAGAAACAGCAGCCGCAGACCTTAGACTGGGGCTCACTTTGCCTCTAGGTGGGACCCTAGAGCCTGGAGAGACAGAGCTGGTGACCTCAGTTATGAGACTGTCCTAGAGACAGGTACAGTTTACAACTCTAATTGAGGTCCTAGATTAATGACTTTCAAATACCTAGCAAAATAACCTTTTTTTTTTTTTCCGAAACGAAATGTCACAGACAACATCAACTCTTAAACAAATGGATATTCTGTTGATCTGGTTGAAGTAGGAATTGGAGCACCCAGAGACCCCGATTCACCTTCCCTTCTCCCCAACCCACACACATGCACATTGTCACAGTAGCTCTTGAAGCAGCTTTGCGGGATTTTAAAATGACAACTCCATAAACAAGCAGTAGTTGGTTTTAACAAGGCAACTTGCATTCCAGGAAGAGGTTTGTTGATTCAGGGTGTGAAACCCAAGTGGAGTTATTTTGATTTCCCCTACACACCCATTCACTAAAAGCACACCTGACTTCCTAGAGACCCAGCCTTTCTTCCACGTAAAAAGCTTTCTTCGCCAAGTCTATCTACAGACTCCTGTAGACCCCAGGTCCTCCCTTTAGTCTTTTCTCACCTCCAATACCTTAGATAAAATTGAGTTTTCCTTCATCTGTGGCCCCATAATGCTTTAACTATCATGCCCTCTTTGGACATGGTCCAAAATGGGATACCACTTTGTAGATGGTGTCCAGGCTGGGCTATAAATACCATTCCAATGAGTCTTGAAGGTGGGGCTGAAAACACTCGCCCTAATCATGACGCCCTTGTGTGTCTATTTGTATCCACCAATTTATATGGGGATTAAGGAATCCCGGTGGTGGCTGGGAGGGGAATCTAACAGCGACTGTGATTGGGATTCAGACAATATACGTAAACCGTATGCAGGGAGAAACTACAAGAAGCCATGGGACAAAGCTGCCTCTAAGAAGAAGTCTGGCTCTGACAGACTCAGCCCCAAGGTCTATGGGTAGGAGAGGAAATGGTATTCAATGGTCTGGACCAGGGGTCCTCAAACTTTTTAAACAGGGGGCCAGTTCACTGTTCCTCAGACCGTTGGAGAGTGTGCGCTGTGGGCCCGGGACAAGTCAGCTGTTAAGCAGGACAGGCAGCTGCAGCAAACACATCCAGCAGGCCAGATAAATGTCCTAGGCGGGCGGGCCACCGTAGTTTGAGGACGCCTGGTCTGGACCAACAAACAATGGCACGGGAGACGCCCACTGAGTCCAGCTTTAAAACGGGAGCAGAAACAAGATGGGAGAGGAAGAGGAATAGGTCAAGACTCTGCTAGCTAAACTCAGATGAATATGTTAAGGTGCTCTCCTATAAATCTTAAGATGTCTATGTTAATATGTTCAAGTATTCATTTGTGTTCCAAGGAATAAATGAGAATACCCCATGGATTCAAAATTCACATAATTTATTTTATGAATATGCATGTTTAAATGAGGGTAGGAGACTATTTGAGTGCAAAGTTTGCATTTGTACCCACACATGAGTAAGAGTAGGGGATACTAGAGCCATCTTTCGTATGCTTGTTATTTGATCACATGACTGGGGACTGACATGCTCAGGTGCTACGTACATCTGTGAGACTGCCATGCCTCCAAGATGTATGTGCCAGAAAAATATCCCCATGTGAGGCTCATCCTACAGTAAACAACACACTTAGAAGTTGTTGCATGGTAATCACGTGATACTCAGATATTTTCATTGGTAACAGGAAGTTAGTAGAAAGGAATCCTTGTTCCAGTGAAGACTGCTTTAGTCATCAGCAAATTTCATAGGTAGAATAACTTCTATTTAAATATTTGGAAAAGGAAAAGCTACACCAAGATCAAAGTTTTGTAGCTTGGAATTTAGATGGTTAGGGTGGTGCGAGAGTGTCCCCAAGTCCAGGAATTATAGATGACCTTGGTTCCATCTAACAAAGTCAAAATCTCCACAAGCTAACAGATACATATGCATTTCAGACTATCTGGATAGAGCACAGAACATATTCACTTTCCCCACATTTCCTTAAGGGAGTCAAATTATTCAAGACCTTGTTCATAATCCACCTGTACCCTATTTCTTTAATTCTAATGGACCACATGTAATGAAGACATATTCATAGCATACTTGCCTAGGTTCAGATTTATGTATTAATATTTATATGTTAATATATTAGGTATTAATTTATGTCTCAGAGATTAATGAAAATATCCCATGGACTCAACATTCACATAATTTTTCTATTTTTATTAATTAATTTATTAATTATTTATTAATTTATTCTATTAATATACATGTTTAAATGAGGGTAGGAGGCTATCGAGTTCAAAGTTTGCATAAAAATTAAATGCATGTATTATTCACATTTACAAAGGCATTTTGAATGAATGCTGGTTTTTTAAAACTGTGATTTTATTCAATGCTAAAGCTATCAAACCAGACATTAACCTTCCTAAATTTGGGCAGAGAAGAGCTCAAGAAGGTGGCTCTCCAAGTAAGAAGCAGTTGCACAAGGTGTTCTAGAGTCTTCTCCTCAAGGCCTACTCCTCCCTTGAGTGTCCTCTTATTTCAATTCTCAGTGTCATCATCACTTCGGGATACAGGGAAAATTCCCTTTTAAAAATCCAACTCATCACCAACAGAAATAAAATGCCACTAACTTAGTCCCAAAAATATACATGCACATTTGTTTTTGAAAAGGAACTTTTAACTTGGACAGGAAATTTACATTAACATGGATAATAGAATCATCAAAAACAATCCAATTTGAAGCTGGGTGCAGTGGCATGCACCTGTAATCCCAGCTACTCAGGAGGCTGAGGCAGGAGGATGGCTTGACCTCAGGAGTTCTAGATCAGCCTGGGCAATACAGCAAGACTCCATTTAAAAAAAAAAAAATTCATTTTAAAAATAGACTTGTGTCCTTCAGGAATCTATAGATATAGCAAAGGGTTTGGAGATTCACAAATCTCCTCAGTTTAAGATGAATACACTTGGCTCTGGAGGGCAGATGTTACTTGGGAGTGCCTTTTCTTCAATAAATGGCACTAACTGCCATCTCTCTACTTGTCATGTGTGTTATGTTAAACGTGACAGTCCATCCTATCCCACCCAAGCACAAAGAGCAAAATGCAAAGTGCTCAGAGTCTCAGACTTCCTGGTGGCCTCCAACTCAGTTTTGCTTCCAATTTGAACAGCAAGAGTGAGTGGATCTGTGGTAAGACATGACCCATAAATGACTGACCGGCTCTAGGGTTGATCCTTGTCACTCTGGAGCATTCTCCCGAGACTTAATCTACTCCACTCACCCCATCAGGGAGCAATCTTACAAGACCTACCCATTTCAAATGCACAACATGATGAAATCTTAGCCATCCATTAACTAGCATATAAATATTGCAAATTAAACAGATACTACCACATGAAATTGAATGGAAGTTGAAGGAATTTATGACTGCACAAACAAAATATTCAGTTAACAAAATACTTTTCTAAGGCCAAACTGTATTTAGTTTTAACTGATCGCTTTGAGGGAATGTGGCATACTTTGGTTTTATTAGTGAGACCTTTGGCTTTTTTATAATCCACAGTAAAAAACACATGATTCTCTAAGACACAACTGCTATAGTCATACTGATTCCTGTAGCAAAGCTTTCCAAACTAAACTCTTTGCTAATCCATCTAAACTTAAGGTTTTAAGAAAGTTCCTAGAAAAATATAAATCCATGATAATTTCCTTAGATAATTTTCTCGCTGGAATGAAAGTGAAGGTTTTTGGTATTAAATATTTGGCAACTTGATTAATTTACCAGTATTATCAAAATATAAATAAGAAATAACTATCTAGCTCTCAAGGTAGATTTAAAAATAATTATGCTTAGATATCTTCCTTTGCAATCATCTATTAATATCAGTAATGTTAGCACTAAGAGAAGGTATCATTAAACATGTCACCAGATAACAGAGTGGCAGGAAGGTCAAAGATACATCAAGCTTTTTAAAATATTCATATTTAAAAGAATACTTACCCTTTTGACTCCCTCTAAGAGGATATATCCTGAGTTTTTCAATGATATCAACTATGATCAAGGATAACAGGACCAGAGATACAGGCAGGTCAGGTAACAACTTATCAGGTAAGGCATTAGTAGACCCACTGATGTTCTTCTGAATCTGTTTTTAGAAAACCATTTAGAAGCATTAAATTATTGTGTTTTCTTTATTAAAAATTCTTCCAATAATCCAAAAGCAAGACTAAATAAATTATAAATACATTTACTTAAAACAAAAACTAGAAGCTTGTTTTTCAGCTTCTTGGGTTTAAGACTCCATCATGTTTTAAGCCATTTCTAGAGATGTAATAAGGGCTCACATCTGTGGGTTTTCAATTAAGGTTACAGCTTGGGAAATGCATGCAGAAATAACAGAATAGTGGGTTCCCTGTATTAGTAGAATGGGTAATTCCTTCCAACTCTACTGCTAAGCAGAGGTTCTAAGAGTCCAGCCCCAAACAGCTAGGGGAAAAATACTGACATTTAGAATCTTCCAAGAAAGGTGAGCCCAGGAAGGCTTTAGGGCACTTCCTTCGTCTGCTTAATGTATCTACAAAAAACCTACGGCAAGCATTATATTAACGGTGAAATGTTGAACGTGTTCTCTGTGAGATCAGGAATGAGCCAAAGACAGTACTGTGAGCATTCCTGTTCAAATTTTAGTACACTAGAGGTCAAAGCCAGTGTAAAAGACAAGAGAAGGAAATCAATAGTAGAAGCACTAGAAAGAAAGAAAAACAAAATACCATTATTTATAGACTATATATGGAGAAAGTCTCCCCAGCATGGATAAATTATTTATAAATACGAATGATGAAGAGTTAGGAAGTAAGATTTTTTTAAAAAAAATGATACAGTTGAATGCAACCTCAATTAATGTTTCAAGCTTTTGTGGAAAATGGCAGGCTGATTCTAAAATTTATATGGAAACACCAAAAGCAAGAAACTCTGGAAGAAAAAGAACAAGAGAGGAAGGTTTACTCTTCAGGATATAATTATTATAAAGCTACAAAAAGTAAGGCAGTGTGTTAGCACAGGAATAGAAAACTAGGCAATGAGATGCAACAGAAAGCCCAGATTTAGATCACAGATGTGCACACCTGATTTACAACAAAGGTAGCACTGCAGGGAAGGACAGATTTAAATAAATGCTGCTCGATCCATTGGAGATTATTTGAAAAAAAAAAGCTTGACTCCCTATTGCACAACACAGACAAAAACCAGTTCCAAATGGATTGTGAATCTAATAGAGAACAACATAGCCTCGAGAGTATAATTAGGGAAACATGTTTGGGACTTTGAGGTTGAGATTCACAAGAGGACAAAATCTTCTCAAACAAGAGACCATAAGCATTCTCTGTAAAGGAAAGAAATTGATAAATTGGGATATTTTTAAATTAAGAACTTCTTTTCACCGAAAGACACCATTGAAGGTATCTTTTGACTCAACTGAAATGCTTGCCCATGCACACCAAGAGACATATTCCAGAATGTTCACTGCAGTATTATTTGAAATAGCCTAAACTAGAAACAACTGAGATGGTCATCAGTAGTTGAACTGATAAATTTTTTTAAAAATTGTGATATCTTCATAAAATGGACTAGTCTATCTACAGCAATGAAAATGAATGAGTTACGGTTATACACAGAAACATGAATGACTCTCACAGTCATAGTTTTGAATTTAAAAAGCCATACCTAAGTTATATATATTACATATAAGTTAAATAATGTATGCATATAATCTGTTGTTTGATTACTCCTTGTGAAAAGTTCAAAAACAGGCCAACTAATCTGTGGTATTAGAAGCCAAGGTAGAGGCCGGGCGCGGTGGCTCACGCCTGTAATCCTAGCTCTCTGGGAGGCTGAGGCGGGCGGATTGCTCGAGGTCAGGAGTTCGAAACCAGCCTGAGCAAGAGCGAGACCCCGACTCTACTATAAAAATATAGAAAGAAACTAATTGGCCAACTAATATATATAGAAAAAATTAGCCGGGCATGGTGATGCATGCCTGTAGTCCCAGCTACTCGGGAGGCTGAGGCAGCAGGATCGCTTGAGCCCAGGTGTTTGAGGTTGCTGTGAGCTAGGCTGACGCCACGGCACTCACTCTAGCCTAGGCAACAAAGCGAGACTCTGTCTCAAAAAAAAAAAAAAAAAAAAAAAAAAAAAAAAAAAGAAGCCAAGGTAGAAATTGCCTCTGGAGAAGAGAGAAAGATAGTCATTGCAAAGAGCGTGGGCGTGGAGCTGGCCAAGTTTTCCTTCCTGACCTGAGTAGTGTTTATACAGGAGTTTGCTTTGTGGTATTCCATTGATACTGTACATTTACGTTTTGTGTGCTTTTCTGTTTGTGTTACACTTCCTTGAAAATCAAATAAGAAAAAAAAGAAAGAAGGGCTGGGCGAGGTGGCTCATGCCTTTAATCCTAGCACTCTGGGAGGCAAGGTGGGAGGATTGCTTGAGGTCAGGAGTTCAAGACCAGCCTGAGCAAGAGCAAGACCCCATCTCTGCTAAAATGGGTGTGGTTGTGGGCACCTGTAGTCCCAGCTACTCAGGAGGCTGAGGCAGGAGGATCGCTTGAGCCCAGGAGTTAGAGGTTGCAGTGAGCTCTGACGATGCCATGGCACTCTAGCTGGGGCAACAGAGCAAGACTCTGTCTCAAAAAAAAAAACAAAAACAAAAACAAAAAAAACGAAAGAAAAGAAAAACATGCAACAGGGCATGAAATATCTTAAAAAAGAAACAGAAAGTGCTGTCGAACTCCAGATATGCTATCCTTGCACAACTGTGGTGTTCTTTTAAAGGTTGTAAACAGAATTTTTACAACTCTTGGGGACCTCTCAAGTGATTTGTGAGGTCTTTGTAGAGGAGGGAGGCAGAAATGACAAATCTAGATGGAGATATTCACCTGTTGCAGTTTGTTTGGAAGACCGCCATCTGTGTAGTCTTCCAAAGTTATTCTATGCATTCATCTATTGTCCTAATGTAGTATCTAGGATATAGTCTAATGACTGTGTAATTTCTAATATCATACATTCCTTGGTACTCACCTTTCTCACAACTATGATACTTGTCCTAATCACCTGTTTATTTTTCTCTCCACTGTTGGTAAATAATTACTGATGCTATATTTATTGAGTGCTCTATCTCAAATATCTAATAGTGCCTGGCCTGTCATATGCACTTAATGAATATTTACTCAACATATGAATGAAACATCATAAAGTCATTTAAGTTGTGTACTTTGGGGAATTTGAAAATTGTATCTTTCACAGCACCTTACACATTAATAAGATTAGTGGGGCATTCTTCTTTGACCTTCCTGGATAATAAAGTTCTCATAGCCTGAAAGCTCTGCTTACAATATTCCTGCCTTGAAGATGCTCATCCAGGTCCTTTTGAAACCATAGTTAGTCTAAACATAAACTCAAAGTTCTTTTCCAATAAATAACATGTGCAAATTATTTTTCAATAGATACCCTACCATAGGTCTTAGAATGTAAACAGTTGGTTCCTTAGAACCAAGGGTGATCATGAAAACCATCAGGTTGGTGGGAGAAAGAGAGAATGTAGATTGACTTTCAAATTCCTTCCTTTAATATTATTTTAAAATAACATTTCTGTCTCACATACACAAACATAAAAGTCAATTTAAAAAAAAAAAAAATTGGGCTGCCGGATTTGCCTCCAAATCACAGAGAGGACAATGATCTTTGTTCTTTCAATATACAGATTGGAATCTGGAAGAAGACTGGGCTAAGTTTAAACTTTAAGGCATTCCTTGGGCCCACTGTTCTACCCAATGTCAGTAACAGGACATTTTAAACTCTCTAAATCTTGTAGCAGAGGAAATCAAAATGCCATACCTCGGTCGCCGCTATGGAAAACGTGAAACTGGGCAAAGTGGTGAGTATTACGCACATCATCAGAACAGGTCTCCTAGCAAAGGAGAAAAAAAAAAATAAGCCAACGCCATAATGTACAAGATCAACAGTTCCTCTTACATTTTGCTAAATTCGCAGTTCCTGTTCCATTCATCTATAGTTTTTCTAAGAAGCCACTGCTTCCCTATTTCCATTTCCCAAATGTTTGCTTATGGCAAAGAGGAACACAGTGCACACAACAGAGTACTTTTCTAGAACAAAGGGTGAGAGATTTCCAAATAATCCGAATAATGTGCAAACCATAAATGACTGAAAGCATCAAGGCGCAAGTCAAACGACATTCAGTCTTTCTGTAATTTATTCATCAGAATTCCACCCATGTTGAGCTCCTGTGATCAACTAAAAGGAAGAACAGCATGACTTTCTCAATTTATACCCTGTGATGTAAAACTGATTTTTCAAAAAATACATTTAGAGATGATAAACTATGAGATGCTTAAAGTAAAACTTAAATAAAAACATTAAACACTTAAAGTAAAAACCTTTGGGCCGGGCGCGGTGGCTCACACCTGTAATCCTAGCTCTCTGGGAGGCCGAGGCGGGCGGATTGCTCGAGGTCAGGAGTTCGAAACCAGCCTGAGCAAGAGCGAGACCCCATCTCTACTATAAAATAGAAAGAAATTAATTGGCCAACTAATATATATACAAAAAATTAGCCGGGCATGGTGGCGAATGCCTGTAGTCCCAGCTACTCGGGAGGCTGAGGCAGGAGGATTGCTTGAGCCAGGAGTTTGAGGTTGCTATGAGCTAGGCTGACGCCATGGCACTCACTCTAGCCTGGGCAACAAAGCGAGACTCTGTCTCAAAAAAAAAAAAAAAAAAAAAGTAAAAACCTTTGGATATGTTTTACTTGCCCCCTCCCTGCAAAAAAAAAAATCATACATAAAAATGACATAATTTTTCAAACTTGTTTTTAGGCCACTTCTTAAGCCTCCCATGATCAATCAATCAAATACTTATTAAGATATAATATGCATATAACACTGTATGTTATAACAGACAAAATTAAAATGTATGTCTGCATATTTAGCATCATTAATTTAGGGAAAGACAAAAGATACTCAAAGGTTTTCTATAATGAAATATTTACCTCTTCTTTTTTTAGTTAATGTATATTATGTTAATTACATGTATATGATAATGTGTTTCTAAATACAAGCAGTATTGACTGCTTTAAAATTCTTAACAATTTCTCCTTGATCCTGTCTTGTCTCTTCTATCCCATTTCAGATGTCCTAGGTGTAAATGTCAGTTAGGAGGTGGGATCGTCCCTCTCTCATGGCCAGACTCAGTCTGACCTGGCTAAAACCAGTTATGCTGGGACTTTCGATTGGTAGCTTTGCCTCTTTGTCCGAGCACAGACCCAAGATCCTACAGCCCTAGGCTCCCTAAGTAAGATTGTCGAAACCATTCATAAAGTCCTCTTCTTCTCAATTTGATCTCAAAACAATGGCAGTGCCCCTAGGGTTATTCCTGTGCCCCCTTTTTAAATCTATATTATCTTCTTGGATTATCTCATCTAGTCCTATAGCTTTAAATACCATCCATCTGCCCAAGACTCCCAAATATGTGCTGGACTTTTCCCTGAGCTCTGGATTGTACACCCAACTATTAGATATCTCCCCTTGGATCTCAAAGAGGCAACTCAGATTTAGCATGTCTGAAAGAGAACACAAGTCCTCCTCTGCACCTGTTCCCGTGCATCATCCAATCCTGTGTGATTTACTGCCGAAATCCATTTCAAACCCATCCTCTGATAATTCCATAGCATGGTTCATCCACTGTCATCTCTCATCTGCAATATTTCCTAACTGCTTTCCTGTTAATGCTTCTATTCTTGCTTAGCAACATTTTCTTCATTTTTTAAAAAAAATGGGTTGTATTTTAAAAATGTAAAACACATCTTATCACTGCCTCACTCAAAAAATCTCAAAAATGCTGGGGAGGGGATAATTGAGGGTTATTGTTTACTGGATACAGAGTTTCAGTTTTGCAAGCTGAAAAGAGTTTTGTGCGTGAGTGGTGGCGATGAGTTGCACAAGAACATGAATGTACTTCATGCCACTGAACTGTACGCTTAAAAATGGTTAAGAAGGTAAATTTTACATCGTGTGCATTTTACTACAATTAAAAAATAAAATCTATCCAATGGACACTAAATGTAATTAGAATAAAATTGAAACTTATTAATTACCCCAGCCAACATGCTCTACATGATGTGGTTTCTCTTATTTTTCCTTACTCTACTCATTTAAAATGACTGGCATTCTCCTCCTACATCACTCCAGCCATAATGGCCTTCTGGCTATTTCGTGATGACACCAAGTGGACCCTACCCGAGAGCCTTACACTGGCTGTTCCCTTCGCATGGTCTATCAACCATGTCTGTTCCATGTAGTTCCCTATAGTCATCTACTTCTCCCATCTTGGTCATTTCAAATCACATTCCACATATATATAATATATATCATATATAACTTATATATGCAGCCCTTACAACTGCCTGAAATTCTGCTGATTATTTCTCTATTTATTGTGTTTCACCTCCCTCTTTCCTCCTCCTCCAAGGTAAGTTTCTTGGAAACAAGGACCTTATCTGAGTTGTTCACTACTTTATCTCCAGCATCCAGATTAATGTTTCCGAATTTTTCTGTGTGTAATGAATCTTCTGGGAATTTAATGAATCCTATGGACCCTTCTCAGGATAAAATTTTTAAATGAGTAAAATAAATATAAAACAAACCAATTATATTGAAATTACCCCAACTTTTTTTTAAAGAATTATATACAATATGCAGTCTCTTTAAAGAATTAGGCTGAGCATGGTGGCTCACACCTGTAATCCTAGCACTTTGGGAGGCCAAGGCAGGAGGATCACTTGAGGCCAGTAGTTCAAGACCAGCCTGAGCAATATATCAAGACCCCATCTCTACAAAAAAAAAAAAAAGAGAGAGAGAGAGAAGAAGAAAAATCAGCTGGACACAGCGGCGTGTACTTGTAGTCCCAACTACTTGGAGGCTAAGCAGAAGTTTGAAAGAAGTTTGAAGTTACAGTGAGCTATGATGATGCTACTATATTCTAGCCTAGGCAATAGAGTGAGACCCTATCTCAAAAAAAATTACATATAGTTACTTAATTTTCTTTTAAATTTTATATAGTAATACCTTATGCTATGCATGAACATATTATCTTTTTAAATTTTCTTTGAATTAATAGTACTTAAGATTAGTAAAAATTGTAATCATTCATAATTTCAAGGTAGTGAAGATCATGAACCATATCCTTATATCTCTGCTACAACTGTTGTGTGATATGAAAAGATCTGTGATATCTGACATGAAAAGCCCTGTGTAATAAAATTACAAGGCCTATTAACACTACTGTGGTTTGTTACCAACATCCATATTAGAAAGAAATGCTAGCTTTCCATTAGAAATTAATGAAAATAAAGAAGCACATTGTTTCTCATTCAAGTTCAGGAACTCCATTATGCAAGAGAATGTCTGGCACATAGTTAAGAACTCAATAAATACTAAACGAATGGAATAGATAGCAAATAAATATCAACCCTAGTCTATGTCTTATTTAACCAGAAATAATGTTAACCCGTGTTTGAAAAATCTTGACTTACTGCAAGGATATGCTTATCATTTATCAATGAGTGTTATGGATTGAATGGTGTCCCTTCAAAAGCGTATATTGAAATCCCCAACCCCTAGTATGTCAGAATGTGACCTTATTTGGAAACAGGATCTTTACAGAGATAATATGATAAAATAAGATTAGAGTGGGCCCTAATCCAATATGACTGGTGTTCTCATAAAAAAAAAAAAAATGGGGACATTTGTCAGCAGACTTGCACAGAGAGAAGACTATGTGAAGAAAGGCAGGGAGAGTACCATGTGGTGATGAAGGCAGAAATCAGAGTGATGCATCCCCAAGTCAAAGAACATCCAAGCTTACCCAGAAAACCACCCGAGGCCAAAAGAAAGCCATGGAACAGATTCCTCCCCATATCCCTCAGAAAGAACCCACCCTGCCAACAACTTGACTCTTAGCCTCCAGAAATGTGAAACAATAAACTCCTGTTGTTTAAGCCATCCAGTTGGTGGTACTTTGTTATGGCGTTTCTAGAAAACTCATAGAGATTTTGCTACTGGGAAGTGAAATGTTGGTGTAAAAATAACTAAAATCATAGACATGGCTTTGAAATTGAGTGATGGGTGGGTAGAGGCGGGAAGAGTTTTGAGACACATGATGGAAAGAACCTGGATTGCCTTGAAGAAATTGTTTGTAGAAACCTAGATATTAACGGAGATTCTGGTCAGGGCTCAGAAAGAAAAGAAGAGAGTTGTAGAGAAAGCTCCTGTCGTCTAAGAGAACTGATATAGTGCCATGAACAGGATGTTGCCAGAAATACAGATGCTAAAGGGGCTTCTGGTGGGGCTTAGGATGGAAATGAGGAACATGCCATTGGAAACTAGGGGCAAGTGATCTTTTGTGTAAAATGGCAGAAAATGTGGCAGAACTGTGCTCTGTTGGGCAGAAAGTAGAACGTGTAAGTGACGAATTCAGATATTTAGAAGAGGATATTTCTGAGCAAAGTGTTGAAAGCTCTGTCTGTTTTCTCCTTGCTACTTATGGTATGATGTGAGCAAAGACAGGTACATTGAAGAAGGAATTTTTAAGCAAAGAGGAACTAGAACTTGAAGATTTGGAAAAGTCTCAGCCTATCTATATTACGAAAAATGAGCAAGCATGTGTGGAAGAGATCACCAAGCTTGCGGCTTGAGAATCCAATCAACCGCGTCAGCAGGATCACCGCTGGCTGGCCCTGAAGGTGGCAGAAATGGCATAAAAGGAAGAAAAGCTGTTGGACTTCTGGGACTCTGGGGAGGAAACCGGCTGATAGAGTGGTTTGGCTGCAAATGTGTCATCCTTCAAGGGAAGGGAACAATGACACTGACAGTGGTTCAGAGGCTGGCACCGCAACCA